GAAGGCCAAAGCCGATTCCTATCAAGACTTCCTCAAATTACTTGCTACTCTTATTTTCCCCATTGTCTGCTATCCTGGATAACAATCCTGGCATTAATCACACCAAAATCGATTTCTAAAAATTTCAATAATTTTTATGCTTATTTAAGATCCAGCAAGTTGAGGACGCTACAGGATGTTCCAGTTCTCGGAAGCCAGTGGCAGGCCAGATAAGTGAGATCATCAGCCAGAACAGTAGAAGGAAGCATTAGAACTGAGGGAGGGGCCAGCAGAATCATGGGGCTCAGGGGCCAAAGGAGACAAGTTCAGTTATTACCCAGAAATGGTTGAGTCAGTGAGACAGGTGCTAAAGCAGAAGGAGAGAGATTGGGTTCAGTGGTACAGAATGGACTCAGCAGGGAGCTAGACCTCAGTTCAAGTCCTTCTTCCAACACTGATTTATAAAATTACATCTAAAGTTTTTTGTTTTCTTCCAGTACTGGGGATTGATCTCATGGCCTCTGCACTAAACTTCTCCTTAATCCTTTTACATGGTTCCTAAGTCATTGAGTTGTCAAGTCTGGGATCAAACTTGGAATCTTTCTTCCTCAGTCTCCCAGAGTGCTGGGGTTATAGGCATGGGCCACCACACTCGGCAAGTTTGTTTTCTCATTTGTAGGAATAAAGGGAACAACACTTACCTTACCAGATTCTGGTGAAGATTAAACTAACATAAATGCAATGCTTATTCCTGGACGTACTGACAGACCAACTCCTTGACAGGAAGAAGGCTCTACAGGATGGGTTAGAACAAGTACGATCTCTAGGGCTTAGTGGCTAGGTGGGTGGGGTTAACCAGAGAAGCTCCTAGGTTGCTGGGTTTTGGGACAAGGAACAGAGCAGTGCTCCCCATAACAGCATGAGAGGCAGGACCAGAGGGCAGTGGGGAACACTGGGGTGGTACTGGAGAATCTGGCTTTACATCTGGCTCTCACGGCTTATGGGCCATCTGAGCAGAAATGCTCACCAGGTACCTGACACGGAGACTGAAGCCCAGGTTAGAGGCTTCACTTGGCAATATGAGTTTAAGCCAGTGGCAGATGGATGGTGTTTTAACCTTCAGTGGTGTAAGAGTTGCCCCTGGGAGATAACATAGACTCTGAACATTCACTAGAGGCCCATGGAACCCTGAGAGTGTGGGGATGAGCACTAAGATCTGTGAATATCATGACATGCTAGGAAGATGCATGTTGTCTTCCTGGTCCAAGTTTTCCATAAATTTTCAAGAGTCTGAGCAATCCCACACTCAAACCCTATGGGAAAGTTACAAACCACCAATACAGAGGGAGTCACCTCCTGTAGAACACACATATTTAATCAGAGATTTAAAAAAAAAAAAAAACAGGGAAAAAGCAAGAGATCCATGAGGAAGACCAAAGGAGAAGCTGAGAAACACCGTAATAGGGTCAGATACAGCTGCAGAGAGGAGAGATCTAGAACTAAATTCTAGAGCTAGGGATGCTGCCAGTCATTTTGAGCCCAGGGTCTAAAGGAGGGGGAGGATGTAGACACTGCGGGTGTCATCATTTTTGTTTCATGAAAAGGTAGGGCTTTGCATAAAAGAAGCTGCCTGTGGTAACAATGAGAATCCAGCAAATGAACCTGCAGAAGTTCGAACTTGTCTTAAGTGTACACAATGCAGCCCCTCCTGCACCCAGCACAATTACCAGATCCCACCCTGTTGCATTTAGAGCCCATTCATTTAATGGAGACCCAGTGAAATTAAAAGCTGGGAAACTCTCCGGAAGTATTTGTGTTTTCTATTTGCATTACCCAATAAAGACACATGGGGAAAGACTCCATGGCAGGACCCCAGGGCGAGCATATGTGTTAGACATGCACTAGGCATCTTCAAACAACAGAAATTTACTACGCCCCCGTTAAGCTTGACATGTATCATGCTCTCTCAGAGTGTCAGAGTGGGATAACCAGACTCTGGGTCCATCAGAACTCTCAATTACCAGTTCTTTGCCCTGAGCAAGTGAGTAAATGTCCCTGTGCTTCACTTTTCATATTTATTAAGTGTAAATAGTAAGTCAAGCTTCAGGCTTGGTTGTTATTATTTAATGAGATAATATATTAAAAGCATTCAGCCAGGAGTCTGATACACAGCTTAATAAATGCTAGCTAGAGCAACCAGTAGAGTCCAGGGCTGCACTAGCCAAATATGAACGACATCCATAATTATAACTTTCCTAGTAGCCACATTAAAAAAATGAAAGAAACCAATGAAGTGAATTTTAATAATAGATTTTGTTTTACTCAAGACATTTAAAACATGCTCATTTCAATACATAATGAATGTATAATTCTTAGTGTTTTTTTTTAAATTCCCTCCTACCGAGTCTTTGAAATCTAGCAGTCTACACTGTGGCACACCTCAGCCCAGACTCAGGCCACAAGCCCAACAGCCCCTTGGCCACAGCACTGGGCAGCAAACCCCCTCCTTCAAGCTATACCCTGTCAAGCACAGGAGCTCTGCAGCACTCTCCCACTGTAAGAATCGCACGTTCCCACTGTAGAAATCAGAAGTGAGCTGTGCTAATACTGGTTAAATCCATACTCCTGGTTGGTTTCCAGCCTCTCCTATGCTAGCCTGACTAAGAGATAGCCGTGGTCCCGTCTATGCGGTCCACATACACTGTAGCGATGCACCCTGAAATTTCACCCTAGTGGTCTACATATTTCTAGAGGGGGGAAATGAAAGACCAGATGACAACGAAACAACTTAGAAGTTGTTTCTAAGTGATAAGCAGAGAAGTGTTAAGAAACCGGAGATGGGCACACACTGTATTAGTGAAAATGATAACCTCCAAAGCCAAAACCTGGCTACAAACTGCTAAGGAAACAGAATTTAGTGGGGGTCTCAGTGCAAGCCAGGGGTTGGGGCAAGAATGGGGAGGCAGAGAGCAGAGATGTGAAAGGAGGAAATGTGCACAGGAGGGCTCAATGTTCAAAGCTCAGGGGGTCCATACTCAGAGCGCACTGGTCAGAATGGTAGTACCCTGGGGTGGCTGAGGCTTTATTTCAAAACCAGAGAAAGATGGAAGCATTGAGAAGACATCGTTTTTAGGGGAAACGGGGGGAACATTTTTCTGTTTCTCTCATTAGAAGTGGAATCGTTTTAATGCAAACTATGTTTTTCCAAGTGTTAACAGAGTTAAGGGGTAATAAACTTTTGACCCCAAACAGTGATATAACTGTCACTGTGCATGTTAGCACACTATCTTCATTCTTATTTACCTGTAAAAATAATGTAAGTTTTCTGAGAGGTGGATTCAAAATTCGGCAAGGGAAAAATTTAAGCAAGGAAACTGAAATTATTATCTTAAGTAATCACAAGAAGTTCACAACACAGCAGGCATAAGAAGCCCCACAGCCCAATAAATGATTTTAGGGGCAAGAGTTTTTAGCTCTCCTCAGACCCAAAAGTCACCCTACAACACTCACATATTACATTTACCATGAACTTGGTGCCCAAAATGGGCTCGGCTGTACCTGATAAACTCTCACTAAGGCATGCAAGGAGATGTATAAACCAGTATGGAAAGACAAAAGGGTTATACTTCAGGTTGGCAATATTATTTATTGAAGGAAAATTCTGTTTTGGAGTTTATAATATGAAATCAGGCAGCTTTGGGCACGTGTTGGTGGTATGACCTTGTAACGTATTACTATCTTCCCTGACGCTGGGTTTCTTCACCAATAAATGTGGATAATAAATACTGACTTTGTAGAAATTGTGTAGAGACAAATAGATGTAAAGCGCTTCGCACAGCTTATGAAACATCAGCAGAAGCTGGGATGATTTCATTCACTTTAAATTATAATATAATAATAAATGAGATACTCATGTTTATTCCCTTATCAGTATAAACACTTCACTGAAAAAATAAACCTGAGTGAAAGACAGTGTAAAGTGAAGGGAACTAAGCTGGCTTTTGTTTTGAACCTGTGTATTTATACCAAGCATGCAAGTAAGATTTATCTTTTTCAGTCTCTGCAATCCTGAATGATTTTTATAAAATTTTGTTCTTTTGTTTGTTTAATTAAAAGTAAGAAGAACTTTGTCTTCAATGCATCTGCAACCAACCTTGAAAAATTCTACAAGAGAAAAATTTAAGCAAGGAACTGAAATTATTATCTTAAGTTATCACAGGTGGGCAGTTCAGTTTTTAGCAGCATAGCTGATCACCCGCGAGAGAATATGTGTGTGGTGTGGGGTGGGGAGAGGAGAAAGTTGACAAGCCTATGTGTGTGCTTTTCAGGGTCTGTGCATGTATCTATTAAATCTCACAGCCCTCACAGCCTTTGAAACTACAGGGCTTCCTTCAGTCACAAAGGAGCACTGCTGAAAAATTCAGTCCCTCTAAAAAAAAATCACGAAATTCTCCCTTAAAGCATAAGAGGGGGGTGTTCTCTAAAATGGATAACTCAAAGTAATGGATAACTCAAAGTAAAATCTTTTGCGATCTAAGAAACACAAATACAATGACTGTAAAGATGTTGATATAAGTACTCTGAAGGCTGGGAGTAGAACATGGAGTGTCCACAACAACAAGGAGGTAGAAAAAGACCTTCTAACTTAATATCCATCAGATCACAGCCCAGAGGCGACTGGGAAGGAAATCTAGCGCCTCATGCATGCTAAGCAAGCACTCTACTACTGAACTACGCTCCCCATTCCTGGAGGTGACTTCTGACTGCGGTTTAAAATCCATCTTATTTCAAGTAAGAGATCATATGGCTAGTGAGAGCATATGGCTATACAACTCCACGGTAAGTTGTGTTCACCTGCACAGTACCCAGGTGAAGTAGGTAAACTGGACTACTCCAACCCCAGTAATATTTAGGATCCAGCCACTGAATTGCAACTCTAGCCTGGCTAGCTCGCCATTGGTGTGAACTGTTACAAGCCAGGAGCCATTCTGCTAACACAGCGAAGCCGTGGCTAGGTTTACCTTTCTTTGGTCTGGATTTCACTGGCAAGAGCTCCTTTCTTTCCATGGCTGCTTCTCTTTCTTTCCATCGCCGTATCTGTTCCTCCCTCATCTTGAAGAACAGGATCTGTTTCTGCTCCTCGCTGAGCTCCGCCAGAAGCTCAGGATCTATGTACATGTCTGCTAGTATCTGTCTCAGCATCTTAACAGGTCGAGGGTCTTTTACACCTGTGGCAAAAAAGTTCCTGCGAGTGGCTTGTGGGTGTGCTCCACCAGGACTGGCACAGACTTCCTCAGAGCCTCATGGCCCCACAATCTTGACTGGCTCTGGGACAGAAATTCTGCAAACTGACTCCTAGGAGCTGCACCTTGTCTTAAGCTGCGAGCAGAACCTGCAAAGAGTAACAACCCAAATTAGTCAGCATTAAAATGCAAAGACGCTGGGCAAAGACAGGCTTCCATGTAAAGCCTACAGGAAATATGGTATCATTTTTTAATTTTAGGGGGAGAGAGAAGAAAAGCTGAGGTACATTTTGTTAAGAGTTTGTGTAACCTCTATCCCATAATTTCCAAAGATACTTTATCAAAAACAGAACAAATCCTAACTTTAAACCAGTCAATCTCAGGGAAACAAAAATTCAACAGACGTTTGGGCTTCTTCCAACTGAGCAAAAACATTTATTACCTGAGAGCCTATGAAACCACCAAATGTAGGGCGGGGGGGGGGGGGCAGGAAACTAACCAAGAAGTAACAGGAAAAAATTAAGAGGCTCTCCTCAAACAACCTGTTTCAAACAAAAATACTATTTGTGAGATTTCACACTGGCATTTACCCCAAACCAAAGCAAAAAATAGTCGTGCTCAAGGTAAATAAAAATGGAAATAAAAATCAGACCATCATGCAATTTTTTTTTGCATTTTCCTTAAAAGTAGTGCTAAAAATATGCAATTGTAAGCTTTCAACTTCATAGAAGGACACTGTAATTTCCAGGCAAGCTACTAAAACCAGGAGAGCAGTACCTGTACTGGTCTAGGAGAGAACGTTCATGTGCCCTGGAAGGGCACCAGGTTTTAGGTGTACCTTTTCAGATAACCTAATTTAATAAAAGCTAAATTTACAGATCAGAAACACTGGGGGAAGGAAGAGGTCACGAGGTTCATAACAGAGGAATTCTAACTTATAAAAGTCTGCTAGAAAGCTCATTTAAGAAGCTCTGGACATGGGTACACAGGGCAGTTTCAGAGGTGGGGGGAGAAGTAAGGGTCGGGGCACCACTAGGCCTACTTTACACATTTCTACTTGGTTCCATCACTCCTGTATCATAGGACGGAAATTACCTTTATATTTGCATTCTGGAAAAAAAGAACATTTATTTCAATGCCATGGGATATCAGAAGTCTTACTGATTCAGGATCAGCTAGGTTCTAAGAAATCTACTACCAATTTGGTGCTTACAATGCTTCAATAATCTCCCCATCCAGCCACACCCTCTCAAACTTGTTTCTCTATGCTAAATGTAAACACTCTTAATCATGAGACTGACTAGTCAAGCGACAGTGCTTTTGGTTCATTTTATGTTTTTCACTTTGTCACGCAGCTGAACTTTTATGCTTCCAGTAGTGCCTGGGAGCTTTTACTCCCCTTCCTCCTCCTCTTGCTTGCGCAGTTGCTTCTTATATATCTCTGGAGATGAGCGTGCTCAGTAGGCTGGCACCAGAGTGCTTGAGACTTCATTGACACTACTTCCTCCTGCACCCTGTACTCTCCCATAGCATTTGACTGGAACTCAAATGGAACAATATATTAAGAGAACATTAACAAAAATAAATAAATAAATAAATAAATAAATGAAAGCAACATTATTGACTTGAACTCAGTCAATCATCCCCCTTTGAAACCCCTTGGTTATCGTGGTCATATCTTGCTTTCAGAGGACCCTCAAAAACTTTCACAGCACAGAAGCAATGTCTGGTAATGATTTCTTGACCTACTGGTTTTAAGCAAAGCAAGTGACTCCTTGACATTCCAGGAAACATTCCTATGTGGGCACATTCCAAGACTGCAAAGGTTGGCTCCCACAGGGACAAAGAAGGGTAGAAAACAAGTGACTGGTGAGGGGTGAGGCTGGTTCTGTTCCCCACTTTGAATGGGGTGTATCCTACTCCAGGGGTGGGTAACAACCTTTGATTCACACTGCTCCCCTCTCCCTTGCCCAGAGCACCCCTGGTGACAGAGCCAAGGCTTCCTGTACCAGGTACTCCCTGGAGCACTTCATCTGCCTTAATCCACTTGAATTCGGTGGCATTCACAGAAGTGGAAGATGGAGCCCCAAAGGGTTGGTAGCTGGGATGAGGCAGAGGTGACAGTGTCACTGTAAACCTGTGTCGCCCACAACACAGAAGTCTCTGTGAGTCTGACCTACGTCATCACTTTGTGGTGTCCCTTGTGAACTTCAGGAGGGAGACCAGCAAATCCCGAGGCAAGGGGACTGCTGAATGGAAGGCATCTGACTCAAGTGCCCCTGGAGGCAACTGCCTCATCCGAGCTGCTGATAAGCATCTACATGTGGAACACACCCCCTCCCCCAGGGAGGACGGCAGGGCACTGATGGCCGGCCACAGGCACTTACTCCACCAGTGTCCCCTTCCCAGCGACCTCCTGGAACAGAATGAAGCATACAGCCATGTGGGAAGAGTTCCATGGCACCTCTGGGACAAAATGTCCAAGTTCTTTCCGTTTTCATTCTATTTTGCCCTTGGTAGCAAATGTGGCTTTCGAGCCTTAAAACTAACTAATCAGTCTTAAAGAAAAGACACTGGCTTCCTTGTGTCTTCGGGAAATATCCAGGAAACCCACCTGACAACAGTCTGGGGCCAGGCTGTTCGTTATGCATGCTGCCCCACAGCTGAAACCTGACGTGAATGGACTTTCCCTCCACCTTAAGGTTTTCCCGTGGCAAACTCCAGCCCTGGGCACTATGCCCATGGGATAGGTAACCTGCAGGACATGTGTGACTTTGGGCTGTCACTTCACAATCGTGGGCTCATTTTCCCCATCTGTGAACTTAGGTCCAGTTCAGTCTGAGAATCTACATAATCTGTGGATTATATATTACAATATAATGTGCAGTTATGAAGTAGAACCAGAGTACAGGAAATAGAAATGAGGAAATTAACCAGGGTTTTTCCCACTTTCACTCCTTAATTGGACAAACAATCACAGCCAACACTGATTCACACTTCAATGACTTCTATCCTAATTCATCAAGTGCAGCAAACTTTCAGTTATTCCAGAGCCAAGAAAAAGAAAGGTCGGCTGGGTCTTATAAAGCCCCTTTCTTAAAAGAGAGAAATGACTAACAACAAGCCCACACCTGCTATTTATTCTGAAAACCAACTTCTAAAGGGCCACGGGATCAGGTAAATTTTCCACAATACCCATACATCTGACCTGATTTTCATACCTTCCATAGCCAATGTTCCACAACACAATGGCATTTTAAATAATTCTGAGACCTAAAACCTAAAAGCTCTGAGATACAGCCTCAATCATAAAGTACAGTATCATATTTTAAAATTAATAATATAAGTAGAATTGTAAGTCTTTTAAATCAGCCAGCTCTGTTTTTAGAATTTCATTCACTTCAGTTTTACTGAGCTACCTGCAAAAGGGCTGTTTTAAGTATAAAGTGAATGAGAGAGGACTGCAATTGATAAATTTTGCAATACAGATCATTCTTCAGAAATGTGAAGTTACTGCACCTATGGATTTACCTAGAGATATCCACTTTTGTGCCATTCTGTGCCCAATTATGCCTTTTAGTTATTTATTCCATTAAAAATTGTATTGTATCGACGTTATTCCTTTTACACTAGCAATCAAATGAATGTCTTTTGGTCGGCGAGGATAAGCTTTGCTTAGAGGGAGGCAGGTACCACTTTCCTTCTGTGAGACCCTTGGGAAGAGAGACAACCCAGAAAACGTACAAACTGTGATGCCTGAGGGTGCCCAGGAACCCTGAAGGTAAGAGAGGTCAAGAGAGGTCAAGGGTGCTCACTTAGTTGCAGAAAGCCACCCCTCAACTGGTTCTGGTTGCCTTTATGGATCAGTTTTTAACTAGGTCCACTATCCAGCTAGGCAATGCACCCCACCCACCGCGCCCACCGCGCCCACCGTTCTCACTGCTCCCACCGCTCGCACGGCGCCCAGGCCCCACATGGGGGCGCCCCCTGGCTGCTTTTGCAGAGAAAGCGTCCAGGAATGCAAAGCGGGCTGAAACCGGTTCCCGAGGATCTCCCCTAGCTGATCCACAGGCCTTACCCGGAGAGTGTGCCAGCCCTCGTCCTCCGCCCACCGTCCCCTGCCGGAATCGGTGCGGAGCGCGAATGGCCCCTCGCAAACAGAGGACGCAGAAGGCTGCGACAGCTGGGCGACGCGCAGCCGGATGTTGAGCTACTCCTGCCGTCTAGAAACCCCAGACTCCTCGGACCCTCCCAGACGGCCACGTGGGCTGCCCAGCTCCCCGCCCGGAGTGAGCAAGCACCGCTGGCGTGCACACCCCTCGGACTTACGCACCCCGCCCAGATCGCAAACTTCCCAGGCGCACACCCGAGGCTCGCTCACCCAACACCCAGCACGCGGCTGCAGTCACCGGACACCGACACCGGACACCCGTGGATCTCCCGCCTCCCTCGGCACCTGAGCTCGCCTGGCGCGCGAGGAGGAGGAACCCGGGGTGGGGGAGCAGTAGCCCGGACCCTGGCTGGTCTCGCAGCCGGCCTCTCCCACGCTGCCCCTCGAGGATCTGCTTCACACACGCACACACATACACACCCCTAGATTTCTCCAGGCTGTCTTTGCCAGGCTCTGGCCTGTGCTCAGCACTGACCTGTTCGGGGTCCTGGATTCACCTGGGCAGATGACCAGAGCACCTGCCACGACCACTTGGGCCGGCAGAGGCTGTCGGGGAAGGGCAGGGGGACACAGGCGCGCCGGCTGCGGGACCAACTCTGCCGGGAGGACGCTTGGCTTCCGCCCCGCCCCTCCGTGCCCGGTGCCAGATGACTGATTGCGCTCGCCGCGCCCCACTAGGGCGCTGGAAACGCTCCCGGGCCCCTGGCCGAGGCTTGGGGGACGGCGGCATCTCAGGCTGGCTGCCCCGGCGCGGGGCGGCACCAGCGCGGTCAGCTCCTAGTTAAGCGGAGGGGGCCTCGCGGTCTGACTGCTGCGCACACCTCTCGCAGACGGCGGAACTTTTATAAATAACCGTGGCCCGGAGCCTGGACGCTGCGGGGTGAGCGCTGCCTCCGCAGGTGGCATGTGCAGCCCCTTCTCTGTTACGCTGCCCCAGCCTGGCTACCCGCCTGCGCCCTGCTCCTGCATCTTCACTGTAGCGCTTGTGTGTGTGTGTGTGTGTGTGTGTGTGTGTGTGTGTGTGTGTGTGTGTACGTACATGAAGTAAACTATTAAATTCTGGAGCACTTGTCGGTTCCAGGTGTGACTTTATGGGACAAGATGAAGGTGGAGAAAATCCAGGAAGAGGAGGTTAAAGACCAATGCAAGAGGAAGCAATAGAAAAACTAGAAAAGGCCAGAAGGTAAAGGAACCTTATGAATCACAGCTAAAACAGGCCTGGGAAGGTGCACCTAGAGGTCAGGCAGCTGACTGCGGATGGAAGAAGGAAATCGTGGAGAGAAGTTGAGCAGAAGTAGATTGGAAAGGTTGGAGAGTATTTCCCATTGTAGAGGAATGTTCAGAATGTGGAGAGGAAGATGGTGGGCTTGGGAAACCTCTGATTGTGGATGTAGGGGAGGAACAATATAACAGCAGAGCTCTGTACAGCCGCCTGGGCTATTCAGGAGCCAGACCTGCAGACTGAACACTAAAGCATTCTCATTCCTGCCTCTCCACAGTGCAGACAGCCTGGAAAGTCACAGTCTGCAGAGTGCACCTTCTCAGCAAAGGCGCTGGGCCATTTAGGGACCATTAGGTCCCAGCTGCTATTCAAATGTGAGGTGCTTCAGGCTGAACTATGATTTGCCTCCGGTTAGCTGACCTCTAGCACTTCCTGGATGGAACAGTTACAGAATGTTAAAGATAGACAGGTGAATAAGAAACTGGGAGACAGATCTTTTGTAAACAGAAAGAGGACCAAAGAGATGGGAGACGGAGAGGGAGAAGGACACTGAAAAAAATAAGATGTGCTATGTACTTGTGCCAACTCCTCACAATGCATATGATCATTATGTACTGCAAACATATTAATAAAAATTAAAATTAAAATAAGATGGTCAAAAGTGGAAATGTAAACTAGTACAACTACTATGAAACTCTATGAGGATTTCTCAAAACACTAAAAGTAGAGATTTTATTTTGTTGCTAGCCACTTAGGTTTGATACTGTAAAATAGAGCTTTCAAAGGTAGATATTTTTTCTTCTAGAAATAAGCAGTTTCTCCAAACTTCCTCCTGTTGAGCATATAACCAAAACTCCTTCCTCTTCTAAGTCTAGAAAAATGACAGAAGATGCAGGTGCCGGCCCAGGAGGTAGGAGCCCAGCTTCCTCTCCACAGGGCAGCTGTGGGTGAGCAGAAGATGGCTGGATAAAGCAGGCATAGAGAGCCTCACGTCTCTTTGCCCCTTTGTTGCTTCCTACAAAAACCCTAGCCCACTTGTATATGAGGATATGGTGATTTGAAGCAAGAAAGCACCTCCATCTCCATGGAAATGGCTTTGAATAAATATTTGTTCCTTTAAAATACAAAAAGCACCTTCTCTGGTTTGGTCAGCAGTGAGCAAACAACTCTGAGTGTATGATCTAAGTGGCTGGCAATTTGAGCCAGCTGTACTTCTGGTGTATCCCTGAGTAAGTTAAAGACATTACACTGTAGTGGTACACGCATACCACATATCCATGTTGATGGCTGTGCAACTCACTACTCACAATAACTAAGCTCTGACAGCAGCCTAGATGCCCACCAACATATGAATGTTAATGAATAGGTGGTTTATATCCAGAATGGAGGCAAAAAATGAAGTCTGCCATTTGCAGGAAAAGAGATGGAACTTGAGACCATACACTGTTAAGTGAAATAAGATGGATACAGAAAGTTACATATTGCATGGTTTCTTTTATGTGAGAAACCTAAGACATGACCTAGATTAAACTAAGGAGAAATCATAGGAAACAAAAAACAGGCTTGTTGGAGATGTGAAAGGGGTGAGGAAAGAGAAGGCCAGGAGGAAGGACAGAGGGACCAAAAATGACCAAGATATGCTATGTCCATATCCAGTGTCCCCACACTGTCATAACTCTCATGTTCCAAACATAGACTGATAAAAAAAAACTAAAAAGAACTTTGGGGTCTGGAAGCTGTCATTTTTCTTAAAAGTATAATTTTAAAATTGTCCTTGTCAAAATTTAACAATGAACACATCCAATAGCCACTTAACAGACACCTTCTGTGTGCCAGGCCCTATAGTAATGCTGGGTGACAGCTAAGAGTTGATAGCTGGGGTCCCTGGGGCCAGCACACTGCCAAATTGTGATGGTTTAGACCTAGAAAGTCCCTCAAAGCCTCATGTGACTGGATTGGTGATGGGGGTGGGGGGGAGATAACCACACTCATCAGTGGGATAACCCGGATGAATCCATAGCCCTGTGTGCTGTTAGGGGGTGTGACCTCAAGGATGTCCCTCTCTCCCTGCCTCTTCCTCTTCCGCTCTGCTTCCTGGCTGTCTAGGCATGAGCACTACAAGGCCTTTTCACCTTGCCCTTTCTGCCTGAGAACTGGTCTACTGTGGACTGAATCCTCTAAAAGACCTGAGCCTGAATTAACCTCTCTTTAAGTCGGGAATGTGGGGCATCATACGTAGTGATAAGAAAGTAACTAAGACAGATGACTGCCATGTCCACTAGCTATCTGTGTATCTTAGGTCCCCTTTGAAATTGTAAATATCTTAATGGCATGGACTATGTCCCATCAGCAAACCTGACTCCCTCCCGTGTAAGGTAGGCATCAGCATTCAGTGAATGTTAGTTGAATGAATCTTAGCCCAAATTGACACAGATTGTACAAAAATACTGCGATCATCTATGGGACTTGGAACCAAGAGTTTTTATCCTTTTCTTTACTGTCCTCTTCTCCTAGTTCTTGTCATGGTCTCCCTTCTGTTGGTAGCATCTCTTTTTCCCTTCTTATTTCCCCATTTTCTCTACTTTTTCTCCTCTTCTCTGCCACCTTTCCCTTTTGTTTCCCTTTTCTTGTCTCCCATTATTCTTTCAATGAACATGATCTGGAACAGAAAATACAATTTTTCTTAATTTTAAAAGAAGTCAATAAGGATGCTTTATATCGCCCTAAAAAGACATCAGGCACCCCTGTGGTGCCTCAATTATGTTTTCCTTCTTTTTGTGCCAGTATCTTCAGGAGAAGGCTGCTCCCCTATCTGTGATGTAGGATGCACCGTGGGGGGAATTCCTCGTGGCCAACAGGTTGCCTGCTGAGGGCTCAGAGACGCAGAAGACAGATGTCACCTGCACACGTTTCCCATGGTGTCCACTGCCCCTCTGCTGCCAGAGCTCAAAGAGCTAAATCTCTACTTACTATGCACTAAAATTTTTAATACATCATTTATTTAAAATAATAGATACGAAACAAATGACCTATATTTTGATGGACATGACCCTTAGCATTGCTTTTACAGCGCCCCTTGGGAGCCCAGCTGCCCAGGGCTGCGAAGTGCAGTCACGCAGTGTGGCACGTGGAGAGTGGGCTGGCTGACAGTGCAGAGACTGCAGTGTATACGTTGCCTCTGGAGTTGTGAGAACAGCAGCCCTGCTGCTGTCAGCAAGATGCAAGGGAATGCTTGTCACTCTTTTAAAAGTAAAGTTAAAACCAGAAAATCAAAGTTATCTTCAAGCTTTCCTCTTTACAAAAGGAAATAAAATCTAGGTGCAGTAAATCCTGAAATCCCTGTACTCTGGAAGGCTGAGGCAGAAGAATCACAAGTCTGAGATTAGTATGGGCAACATAGGGATTTAGTGAGATGCTGTCTAAAAATAAAATTTAAAAAAGGACTAGGTATGTAGCTCAGTGCAAAAGCCCTGGGTTCAATTCCCAATACCATCAAAAAAATGGAACAGAGAAAGAGAGAGAGAGAGAGAGAGAAAGAGAGAGAGAGAATATATTCACCAATAATACTTTCTTGTCATATTTTCTTATCAGCACCAGAAAGCTCAACAACTTTTTTAACTCTTTAGAAAATAAATTATACTTTTGAAAAAATGTATATATTTTTTTCTCATAAGGGTGACCTGGATATGAATAGAAAATACAAAAACATTTAAACCTTACTAAAAGTGGTCAAATCTCAAAATAAATCTCATTCCAATTTATCAACCATAAAAAAACCAAATGCATTAATAATCTACTACGTGTTTAGCTTTCTGCCATCAGTTACATTTTATTGTGAGCTATTGTCATTTCCTTGTAACCGTGTGGAGGCCTTTATTTCTTCATCTTCATAAATACCTAGGTAAGTCACTGGTCTTTACTATTCATTTTTTCATGAGTTACCCTCAAGGAATTGTTTTCTCAGAATCCAGTCCTAATGACTAAGAAAACATTCCTGGATTCTCCTACTTCTGCAGTACAGTGAAAGGCAGCCAGGGGAACTGCTGAATTTATGAAGGGGGTGGAATGAGACAGCTCTACCCCAAGTGATCAGAGAAATCTTTAAGTAATCTCTGGTAATCACTGAAGTTTCCCAGTCAAAACTCTGAGAAAACAGCGGGAGCAAGTTCCTCCCAGGATCCTAGCATTGCTTGAGTCTCCCTAGGTAGCTTGGAGTAGATCTACTAGGCACAAAAAAATGAAAATATCATTTCTTTTTTTGGACCAGATTCAGAGCTGAGTTTCGATTTCCTAAGTAGTCCTCTATGTGTAATTTTTGCTGCACAAATTATATTAGTTTTATAATGGGTTTACTATAATTGAGTACAGTGATAATTTTCAAGCAATTTTTAAAATAACCTAGAGAGACCTTTTTAAATGCACCTTTTTGTCTATTCCCCTAGGAATCCTTATTTGACTGAAAGGTGTAGAGCACAGAGAGCATTTCTTCAGAGTATCTAGGAAGATCCTAATGGGTAGCCATGGTGGGAAATCATGAAAATATGTGAAAACAAAGATAACTGGTCAAGAGAATTTTTGAAGATCTAGTAACAGAAGCCCCTAGACATCATGAAAAATATATAGGAGGCAGGATGCTTATTCTCTTGACTTTTTTCCTAAGTCCTAGAAACTGGTCTGTGATAAATGTTCCACCAGTCCAGTCTGTCATTTTAAGGGGTGAAACCTGAGGGAGGTGACAGTGCCTGTGTTCTTAGAGATG